GTAGATATCAGAAAAGTCTATATAACCACAATTTATCCCCCTGCCTCTTCTTTCTGTTTACTGTGAGATATAGTCACAATGACAATGGAGGGACAAATGAAAAATTACTGAAATAACACTACTGCAACTTACTGGGGGCTTCCCATGTATGCTTCCAATACATGTACCTTGTAATACATTAACTCTCTTAATTCTCACAAAAATGCTATGACGTAGGTATAATTATTACTCCCAACTTACAGATGTTAAGTAACTTATCCATGTCATTCTAGCAGTACTCAAAAATGAATTCAGGTAGTGACCACATGCTAGATAGAAGTTCCTAGGCAGGAATTGTTTCAGCAATCTTGGACACACATTTAATGACTGGCTATTGGTGTGGTACCACACGATCATTCAAACAATCAAGCTTGTTTCTGTTGAAGAGGTCAGAGAAAGTAAAGGCTAAAAAGTCCCCAAACAGTTAAGTCACACAGAGGCTAGAACTGTCATATGGTACACACACTCCAGTGACAAGAAATTCCAAGGGCTCAAACAGAAGACTCTCAAAGTAGCTCAGCATGGCCTGTAATAAACAGACAGAAACACTATGAGGAAGTGTTCTTCACACTACACTCAGAGGTTTTCCCTCCCACTTACACATGATGGTTGCCATCTCAGACTTTTCATATTAAGTTGTTTCATTTTTGAGATGGAGTCTTGCTCTGTTGCCCAGGCTGGAGTGCAGTGGTGCAATCTCAGCTCAGTGTGGCCTCTGCCTCCCAGGTTCAAGCCATTCTCCTGCCTCAGCCTCCTGAGTAGCTTGGATTAGAGGCACGCCCCACCACACCCAGCTAATTTTATATTTTCACTAGGTACTGAGTTTTGCATGTTGGCCAGGCTGGTCACAAACTCTTGACCTCAAGTGATCCACCCACCTCGGAGGCCCAAAGTGCTGGGATAACCAATACTGCGTCCATCTCAGAGACAGCCTCGTCTCCTTCTAGAGTTCCTGAGAGTTTGTTCAGATGCATCAATATGATTCCTATTTTTAAAAATATTTTTTTAGAGACAGGGTCTTGCTATGTTTCTCAGGCTGACCTTGAACTCTTGGCCTCAAGCAAATTCTCTTGCCTCAGCCTTCTGAGTAGCAAATCTGTATTTTTATTGATAAAGTATAAATTTATTTATATACACTACTGATGGCTATTCTGCCTCAACCTGAAAAAGCACCCCAAAAAAATCACAAAAGCACTTTAAAATGGTCACTATCAAGATTCAATATTAACTAACTTATCTATTTTGATTTTGCAGATACTCCAATGGTAAATAGATCATACTTTCTCCTCAAATATTTAAATACATGTTCCTCAAAAAGTGTGGTGGTACCACCAGTATCAAAATCACGTGGCACTTATTAAAAATGCAGGCACATGGAGTCATCACCAAATCAACTGAACCCATCTCTAAATAAACTCTCAAGTGAGCATTTTAATAAGCTCTCCAGTGATTCTTTCTTACTCAAAACTTATTTATTGAACGGTCTACAATATCCTAGTGCAAAATGAGACAGGTAAGTGAACAAAAATAAACATTTTGGATTTCAGCTGTGCTACAAAGAAAAAAAGATATGTCAGAGAATGACCTGGAGGACTACTTTAAAATGAGAAGTCAAAGTCTTTCTGAGGAGACATCTGAAGTGAGGAGCCCTTCATTCAAGACAGTGATTCTCAAAATTAAGCGTGCATCAGAATCACCTAGAGAACTTGTTAAATGAGACTACTGGTCAGAAGGTCTGGAATGGGGCCCAAGAATCTGTATTCCTAACAAGGTCACAGATGATGCGGATGCTGCTGGTCCAGGAACCACACTCTGAGAGCTGCTGATCTAGAGAGAACACCAAAAGAGTATGAATAAATGTATTAAGAGAAACAGGGAAAAGGTCAGTTAGAAAAGAGGGCAGGATACTCACGACTGTTTCAAATTACTTGAAAAAGATGGTGAATTAAAACCACTAGCTATGATCTCCAGACCAGAGAAGAGAAAATCTGAGGTTGATCAATAATATCCTGTATTGTTGAAGATTTCTCAGTTACGAAGCATTTTCACATTTATAATTTGCCTTAGTGAAATATAAGTAAACAACTACTAGCTACATTTTAGGGGTAACCTGAGGGACAAAACAGTATGAACTTCCTTTAGAGTAAAACAGTTAAGGAGCTGAACTATTTCTCCTAACACCCGACGTAGTGTTCTTTCCAGCACAGCTTGATCTTTTTGAAGAGCAAAGCAAAGGGTACATATAGGAGTTAAAACTTACAAATTATTTTCTAGACTACCTAAAAACAAGGTGGATGGCTGGGCACAGTGGTTCACATCTCTAATCCCAGCACTTTGGGAGGCTGAGGCACACAGATCATTTGAAGCCAGGAGTTCGAGACCAGTCTGGTCAATATGGCAAAACCCCACCTCTACTAAAAATACAAAACTAGCCACAAGGGTGGTGTGCACCTGTAATCTCAGCTACTCAGGTGGCTGAGGCAGAAGAACTGCTTGAACCTGGGAGGCAGAACACTCCGGCCTGGGTGACAAAGCCACTGTCTCAAAAAAAATTTTTTTAATAAAAAACATGGTGGATTCTAGACTCAATTTGTTTTAGATATCGGTTAGAAAGCACTATTATTTAAAACTGACAGAATTTAGTCAGTCTCTTCCACTTACTCCTCCTTCAAAAAGAAAGGATAAAGAAATGAAGAGGAGATTTACATATTATTCTCTCTCCTACATGAATTTCAGGTAACTAGTTTCATAACCTTGGTCCCTCAGCAACATCAGTCAAACATAATCTGCATCTTTGGGTTCCCTTTAAATCTCTCACCTAACCCAGGCTCCCACAAGAACACTGAATCCTACGTGTCTCACTGTGCTCATGGGTACACAGACCAGGAGCAGTTATTTTCTAAACACCCATTAACACTTCGTAGCTTCTCCAACATCCAAAACCTCATTCTTAATATTCTTACTTGCATGTCCCAATAATGCTACAAACCCAGAACATCCCAAACTGAAATCATTTTATCCTCCCTCCAGTTCAGCCCTCACCCTAGCCGTAACCCTCACCCCAGCCCTGCTTCTGTAGGGCTGTCTGAATATGTATTAATAGCACTGCCATCCACCAAACAAAAACATGTGGAATTCTACAAGTTTGTCTCCCTCACACCAATCTCAATACACTCCCCTCACCTCCATTCCCATGGCCACTTACTATTAGTTACTGTTAATAACATGCTAACTATCATTTCATTAGCAACTACCACGTACTAATCACTTTACACATTTTATCTTACTTCATTCTCTCAATAACCCTATGAGGTTATGTACTTTTTTCCCATTTCACAAATGAGAAAACTGAGGCTAAGAAAAGGTCCAAACCCTACCGTTCCCCCAAACCAAAATGCTTCATTCTGTAATACCTGTGATATCATTCCTTTAATACCCATTCCAAATGATAATTTCTTACCTGCATAACTGCCAGGATTATCCTAAGTGGTCTCCCTGTCTCCAGCCTTGCCTTCCCTCATCCCTCAAGTGCCCTAAGTGATCTTTCTGGATCGGAAATCTGATCCTTTTATCATCTTGATATAAAAGTGCTCCAGAAACATCCTTTATTCCACAATGTCCAGGATATACTCTATAGGATGAATTCCAAGCCCTTTAGTACAGTTCCACAATCCCTTACCTACGGTTCCAAAATTCCAAAGCTTTGAAATTTTAATTTTTTTCCTAAGTCTGCAATGGAACCCACTGTGAATGATGGGAGGCTATTTCGTCTCTTTATCCAATTAGTGTGATATTTATGTGTGTCAATGCAGAAATATTAATGTGTTTGATAAAGAGTTAACTCAGACCCCGATAAAGTCTTACATAAGAGACCTTTGCCAGGAAAAAGAAAAATCCCAAAATATTCTGAAGTCCAAAACACACCTGGATCCCAAGAGTTTGAGAAAAGAGATTGTGAAACCCTTATCTATTCAGTCCATCAATCCAATCTAATTTCCACCAATCACCTTACACATTCTATAGTTCCAGGGATGAAGAAGGGTGCCCTGGGCCCTGAATACCCTCCAACCCAGTGAGGTATTCACTCTCCAAGAAACCGGCTCATGGATTTTCTTTCTTGTGAAGTTTCCCTGACCTTTCGTCTATTGTGCCACAGCCGTTGTACTGAATAGCCACCTCCACTGCTGCAAGTTATATGTTTCCCCTGTTCGAATGTGAATGCAGTCTTCACTGAGTACTTTATTCAGTCCTAGCACAGTGCCCCAACACTAGGGGCTCGTGAAGGTACAATGAACTAAAATTCATGCCCAGCTTTCCCTAACTCAATTCCTTCTAAGTTAATTTCTCCTTCATCCCGAAACCTTGGAATTTTCCCTAGCCATGCAGCCCACTTTCTAAGTCTCTCCTCCCAATGTCACCTTACAATTTTCTCACAAGCGCCTCCTCTGTACCCCAAGCTCTCCAACATCTTTTAACGACCTCCATTTAATCCACAGTCCTCCTTTCTCCTGTCGGCGACCAGGCCAAGTCCCCTCCCTCCAAAGCAATCCATCTTTACTGCCCTTACCTCTTACCTACTCCCTCAACACCTCTCTGGCCCGGGCCCTTCCAGCCAAAACGCTTCTCACAACGTGTTTCCTAAATCCCCCTTCTCTCACTGTGTGGGTCTACCAGCTCCAAAACCAGCCCTCGGCCGGGTTCCGCTCATCACAAACCTTCCTGGCAGCCAGTGTGTCCCCTCCCCCAGCCTCTCGCAGCCGGCACCCCTCCCTTCATGCTCCCCTTATCTCTTGCGGTCCAGCTTCTCTGGAAAGTGTCCCAGGGGCGAGTCTTTCACCTCAGAGACCCCTCGAGATCGCAGCTGTCCGAGCAGCCCCAGGCCCCAGCACCTCCGTCCCCAGCTCCTCTAGGGTTGCGCAAATCCCGTGCGGCCCAGACGCGGAGCACGGCCTCTGGCTCACCTTGCTGGATGTCGCCGTTGCTACCCCCCGGGATGGGCACGCTGAGCTGGCGCTCGGGCTCGGGCAGGCAGCGCAGGCAGAAGGAGTGAAGACAGGGCAGCAGCTTGGGCTCCGCCTCACGCCGGCTCTGCAAGCTCTGCTGACACACGGCGCAGGTGTCCAGGAGCGAGGCTGGCGGTCCAGGAGGCGGCCCCGCGGAGGGACCCGGAGCGGGAGCCGAAGCTGGAGCTGGAGCCGGCGTCGATACCGCGCCCCCGGGAACTCCAGGGGCCACTGAGGCCGCAGGGGATGAAGCAGCCTGGGCCGAGCCCGAGGAGGCCGCGGCCACCCCCCCGTCGTCGGGCCCGGCTGCGCCGCCCTCCGCGCCGGCCCTGCCGCCTTCCTCCTCCTCCTCCTCCACCAGCACCGCGGCGAGAGGCGGCTCCGCCTCCTGCGCCGCGGGCCCGGCGGTCCCGGCAGTTACCGGCGCGCTGCCGCTGCCCCCGCCGCCGCTCTCAGCCTCGCCGCCGCCTTTGTTTTCCGCCATGTTTTCCTCTTTGAACCCGCCGGACCGCCCCGCGCCGCCCGCCGCCCGCGTCGCCGCCGCCGCCCCCAGCCCCAGCCGCAGCCGCAGCAAGAGCGGCAGCCGAGAGCGAGCGAGAGAGCGAACCAACGAGAGCGCGCGCGCACGCGGCGCCCCCGCCCTCGCGTCGTGCGTTTGAAGGAGGGCGGGTGCGGCACGCGCACGTACGCACGGACGTCCTCCCGAGGGAGGCGGGAACTCGGTGCGCGGGCGCGGAGGGGACCCGGGCCGGAGCCAGTTCGTTGCGTCAGTACCACGGCTCTTTAGCTGGAAAGAAGGTTTTAAAGCCGGAGGCTGTTGACGCTGAGTAGCTTTTGGCTGGGGTTGGTTATGAACGCCTACACAGCGGAGTTGCACACAGAAGGGTAGAAACCGGGCCGGTTCCGTCTCCAACGAGCGTGTCCCGGGCGTCTCCGCGCAGCTTCAGCTGCCGCTTGCTGGAGCGCCGGGGCCTCCTGGGTCTCTGCTATGCGTAGACCAGCTGCGTTCCTTTGGGTACCCGTGGAGCAGTAAAGCGGGCTTTGTGTTTTTTTGTTGTCTTTGGGGGTTCTTTTGCTTATTTTTGAACTGAGGATCTACCAGAAATAGGCTGAAAAGACCAATTGAGAAATAAACTCTTAACAGCTATTTTTATCTTCTTAATGTGATTCTCAAGAGCTGCTACTATCAGAATAAACGGAGGAGTTTTTCAAAGCAGAGTTGCCAGGGCCAGTCCCCAGAGCTGAATCAGGAAGTGACGGAGAGGGTTGACAGGGGGAAAAGTTCCTTCAGCTGATTCTAATGTATGTCAGTTTGGAGAGCCACGGGTATAACCAAGACTGTGTCCTTCCGAGGTCCCACTTTAAGTGTCCTGGATTGAGCTGGGTATCAGATGCCCTAGCAACAGTGGTAATAGAAGCTTTCGGGTCGGGGGCTGTGGCTTAGGACTGTAATCCCAGCACTTGCGACCTCCGAGTCGGGCAGATCACTTGAGGTCAGGAGTTCGTGACTAGCCTGGCCAACATGGCGAAACCCAGTGTCTACTAAAAATACAAAAATTAGCCGGGTGTGGTGGGGCGTGCCCGTAATCGAAGCTACTCAGGAGGCTGAGGCAGAAGAATGGCTTCAACCCGGGAGGCAGAGGCCGCAGTGAGTTGAGATTGCACCACTGCACTCCAGCCTGGGCAACAGAGCCAAACTCCGTCTCCGAAAAAAATTAAAAAAAAAGAGGCAGCTTTCAGAAAGTATTGCCTTTTTATTTGAAAAAAAAATTGGGGTGATTTTATGTAGTGCAACAACTGTTTTAGTGTTAAGATCGTGAAATGCTTTGGTCTCCTGTTAGTGTTCCCAAAAAAGTGTTATTTATGAGGTGCTGTAAGTCCTTAAACCATGTGAAAACGTACTATTATTTTTTTTAGACCACCTAGCCCTGTCGCCCTGGCTGGAGTGCAGTGGGGCAATCACATTTCACTGCAGCCTCAACCTCCTAGGCTTAGGCCATGCTCCTCTCGAGTAGCTGGGACCGCAGGTGTGCGCCACCACTCCCAGCTAATTTTTCACCCTTGCCTTGAAGAGACTGGGCTTTCACTATGCTGCCCACGCTGCTCTCAAACTCCTGGGCCCGAGCGATCGGCCCGCCTCAGCCGCTGGAAGTGCTGGGATTACAGGCATGAGCCACCACGCCCAGCCTCCTGAAAACTTTTTAAAATTTAACAAAAACATTTTCTGACCTCTTTATTGTCATAGTCTTTTGGATATATGCTGGGATTACAAAACAGGAGCTCCATGCATTCAAGGAGTTTACAGTCTAATAGAGAAAGATTGAGGACAAATAAATGCCAGGAAGTGGTAAGTTCTCTGAAGAAAAAATAAGTGGGGTAAAAGCTGTAATCGAGCTACCTTTGAATTAGATGTGATTAAGAAGGAACTGTTGATCAGTTGAAAGAACCTGTCTTGTATAAGACCAGGTCGAGGAACACATGGCAAGTGCAAAGGGCCCGAGGGAAATAGATTCTTGGCTTGTTAGAGGAAGAGTCAGTGTGGCTGGAGTGGCTTGAGCAATAGTAGGACATGAGATAAAAGAGTTATTAAGGGGGCCAGGTCATGTACAGAAATGGTCTTCAATTTTTTTTTTAACTTTTGTGCCCTTTAAAATAATTTTGGAAAACTTTTTTCCCTCAAACATTGTAAGTTGACTAAATTTTTTCAGAAGTGTAAATAGTTACAAAGTGTAATTTGTGACATATTGTAACACTGACATTTAAAAATTCTTATTTTAAATATAATAGGAAAGAAACACTAAAGTGGCTTAATACTATCCATTTTTTATTGCATTTTAGGTTTTGGGGTACATGTGAAGAACATGCAAGATAGTTGCATAGGTACACACGTGGCAGTGTGATTTGCTGCCTTCCTCCCCTTCACCTATATCTGGCATTTCTGCCCATGCTATCTCTTCCCAACTCCCCACCCCCTGCTGTCCCTCCCCTATTCCCCGAAACAGACCCCAGTGTGTAGTGCTCCCCTCCCTGTGTCCGTGTGTTCTCATTGTTCAACACCCGCCTATGAGTGAGAACATGCGGAATTTCATTTTCTGTTCTTGTGTCAGTTGGCTGAGAATGATGGTCTCCAGGTTCATCCATGTCCCTACAAAGGACACGAACTCATTGGTTTTGATGGCTGCATAATATTCCATGGTGTATATGTGCCACATTTTCCCTGTCCAGTCTATCATCGATGGGTATTTGGGTCGGTTCCCGGTCTTTGCTATTGTAAACAGTGCTGCAATGAACATTCGTGTGCATGTGTCCTTAGAGTAGAATGATTTATAATCCTTTGGATATATACCCAGTAATGGGATTGCTGGGTCAAATGGAATTTCTATTTCTAGGTCCTTGAGGAATCGCCACACTGTCTTCCACATTGGTTGAACTAATTTACACTCCCACCAGCAGTGTAAAAGTGTTCTATTTCTCCACATCCTCTACAACATTTGTTGTCTCCACAGTTTTTAATGATCGCCATTCTAACTGGCATGAGATGGTATCTCAATGTGGTTTTGATTTGCATTTCTCTAATGACCAGTGATGAGCATTTTTTCATATGTTTGTTGGCCTCATGTATGTCTTCAACTGCAAAAATTTTTTCCCATTCTGTTGGTTGCTGATTCACTCTAGTGACTGTTTCTTTTGCCCTGCAGAAGCTGTGGAGTTTGATCAGGTCCCATTTGTCTGTTTTGGCTTTTGCTGCCAATGCTTTTGGTGTTTTGGTCATGAAGTCCTTGCCTACTCCTATGTCCTGAATGGTTTTGCCTAGATTTTCTTCTAGGGTTTTTATGGTATTAGGTCTTATGTTTAAGTCTTTAATCCATCTGGAGTTAATTTTAGTGTAAGGTGTCGGGAAGGGGTACAGTTTCTGCTTTCTGCACATGGCTAGCCAGTTTTCCCAACATCATTTATGAAACAGGAAATCCTTTCCCCATTGCTTGTTTTTGTCAGGTTTGTCAAAGATTGTATGGTTGTAGATATGTTGTGTTCCCTCCGATGCCTCTGTTCTGTTCCATTGGTCTATATCTCTGTTTTGGTACCAGTACCATGCTGTTTTGATTACTGTGGCCTTGTAGTATAGTTTGAAGTCCGGTAGTGTGATGCCTCCCTCTGTGTTGTTTTTGCTTAGAATTGACTTGGCTATGCAGGCTCTCTTTTGGTTCCATATGAAGTTTAAGGTGGTTTTTTCCAGTTCTGTGAAGAAGGTCATTGGTAGCTTGATGGGGATAGCGTTGAATCTGTAAGTTACTTTGGGCAGTATGGCCATTTTCATGATACTGATTCTTCCTAACCATGAGCATGGAATGTTTCTCCATCTGTTTGTGTCCTCTCTTATTTCGTTGAGCACTGGTTTGTAGTTCTCCTTGAAGTGGTCCTTTATGTTCCTTGTTAATTGTATTCCTAGGTATTTTATTCTCTGTGTAGCAATTGTGAATGGCAGTTCATTCTTGATTTGGCTCTCTTTAAGTCTGTTATTGGTGTATAGGAATGCTTATGATTTTTGCACATTGATTTTGTATCCTGAGACTTTGCTGAAGTTGCTTATCAGTTTCAGGAGATTTTGGGCTGAGATGATGGGGTCTTCTAGATATACTATCATGTCGTCTGCAAATAGAGACAATTTGGTTTCCTCCTTTCCTAATTGAATACCCTTTATTTCTCTTTCTTGCCTGATTGCTCTAGCTAGACCTTCCAATACTATGTTGAATAGGAGTGGTGAGAGAGGACATCCTTGTCTAGTGCCAGATTTCAAAGGGAATGCTTCCAGTTTTTGTTTATTCAGTATGATATTGGCTGTTGGTTTGTCATAAATAGCTTTTATTATTTTGAGATACATTCCATCAATACCTAGTTTATTGAGGGTTTTCAGCATAAAGCGTTGTTGAATTTTGTCAAAGGTCTTCTCTGCATCAGTTGTGATAATCATGTGGTTTTTGTCTTTGGTTCTGTTTATGTGGTGAATTATGTTTATAGACTTGTGTATGTTGAACCAGCCTTGCATCCACGGGATGAAGCCTACTTGATTATGGTGAATAAGCTTTTCAGTGTTCTGTTGCAATCAGCTTGCCAGTATTTTATTGAAGATTTTTGCGTCTATGGTCATCATGGATATTGGCCTGAAGTTTTCTTTTCTTGTTGAGTCTCTGCCGGGTTTTGGTATCAGGATGATGTTGGTCTCATAAAATGATTTGGGAAGGATTCCCTCTTTTTGGAGGATTGTTTGGAATAGTTTCAGAAGGAATGGTTCCAGCTCCTCTTTGTGTGTCTAGTAGAATTCGGCTGTGAACCCATCTGGACTTGGGCTTTTTTTGTGTGGTAGGCCCTTAATTGCTGCCTCAACTTCAGATATTGTTATTGGTCTATTCAGGGTTTCGACTTCTTCCTGGTTTAGGCTTGGGAGGAGGCAAGTGTCCAGGAATTTATCAATTTCTTCCAGGTTTACTAGTTTATGTGCATAGAGTTGTTTGTAATAATCTCTGATGATGGTTTGAATTTCTCTGGAATCTGTGGTGATATCCCCTTTATCATTTTTTATTGCATCTATTTGGTTATTCTCTTTTCTTTT